GCAAACCAATGACGCCATACCCTATTTACATCAATGGGCAGAGTGTCAAATATGCACGGACGCATCATTTCCTGGGCATAATAATCGACAAAAGTTTTTCGTGGAGTCCACATTGTGCGTACTTGAAGAAGAGACTGCTATCTATTATGCGGGAAAGCATGCCTCCATGCTACAGTTGTACAGGGCCCTTTTTCTGTGTCTATTGTGCTATAGCTTGCCGGTACTGACTAACACTTGCAAATCCAATACTCATTCATTGGAGAGTTTGCAGGGTCAGGCACTGCGTATCTGCCTAGGACTGCCCCGATGCGCTTCTACTTACGCCACAATCGTGCTTGCCAAAGACCATCCGGTCAGGACATAGAGTTGTGGATTGCCTCAGAGCACACATTCGACATGCTAGCCGTGTCCCCAACCACCAATTGGCCCTTCTACCCTCCGAAAGACCACGTGCTACGTTTTCAGACGTCATAGCCAAACACCTAAACAGCCTTCAGTCAGGATATACGCCAGCGAGGAGAATCGCATGTCCCTTGTGATGTCTCGACCAGCTGCAAGTACGTCTACAAATTCCGGGTATCAAAAGGAAAAGCAATCACTCCAGAATATCATTGAAGCAAGCAACACTGCTATTATTATATGAGTTGTACTTTGACCGAACGCAGATATGCACTGATGGGTCAATCTCGTCCAGCAGCTCATCAGGTGACGCTGTAATTCCGGCTGCATAAATGACAATCAAGTTTAAGTTGTCGCATGTGACTACGTCTACGGCATCAGAGCTTGCTGCTATAAGAGCTTCTTTACAATATCTCGTTCAAGAGCGTCCAGGAAAATGGTTCATATTCTGTGATTCGAAGGTAGCACTTCAGAGTTTGCAGTTTACCATGCGTAAGAGGAACCATGAACAATTGGTACATGAAATAAGACATTGCCATCATGAAGCTCTAGCACGAGGGCATGATATTATATATCAATGGCTGCCTGGACATATCGGTATTACCGGAAATCAATTAGCCGATGATGCAGCCCGCTCAGCCCAAGAAGGAACTCGTGTAGTCCCGATTCCTCTATCAAGGAATGATGCAGCAAGACAACTTTACCTGCTGGCTCGAGATCTTACACGCCCGTTCTGGTCGTCTACCAGCTTCCAAAGGTGTCAATTTTATGAACTGGATCCTTCGCTCAAGATACAGCTACCATCACAACTTTCCCGCTCCGATGCGACACTGTTATGCCGCCATTGGTTGGGTGTTGCATTCACAAAGGTGTACTCCTTCCGCATTGGTATGGCAGACACCTCTACATGCGACTACTGCGGAGCTGAAGAGACCATCGAACACGTCCTGTGCAGCTGCGCTTGCTACGACACGCAGCGATGCCAGCTCCGGATGGTTTTGAATCAACTTGACTCTAGACCCTTCTATGTGCAGAAGATTCTGGGACCTTGGGCGTCTGCCTCGATTGCGCAGAAAGCGACTAAAGCACTCCTACTATACTTGAAGACAACAAACCAGAGTGACCGCCTGTAGACTGTGTGTGCTCCCCGAGTGTACTCGTGATTGTGTGAACCTTCTTATCTCTCTGCAACCTCTTTTCTCCTCTTCATCCCTTCCCCAGTGCAGGGTAGCAAACCGGATGCGCGTCTGGTTAACCTCCCTGCCTTTCCTTGCATCTTTATCCCTCTCTTTCTCTGCAAACTTTGCATTAGCATTGAACCCGATACCGTAGTTTTAAACGGGAAAGGCCGGATAGGTTGTGCCTATATAGTTACTACTCCGATAGCAGGGTTGCGCGTTGGATTTCCAAATGTCGCTATCAACTATGCATTGCGGAAAAACTGATGCTTCTGTGGTGGTTTACAACCCCTGAATTCCCCCCCCCCCTTTTCGTCGGTGCGCCAATGGGCTAGTGTGACTTTGCAAAAGTGTTAAAGAACAAAACGTGGATGCAGTCTGTTCTATTGCGTTCCCATGGAGAGGTTGAGAAATAAATGTCCTGGGGTGCTTATTTTTCGTAAGCATGCAAGCAGCGGGCACAATATATTAACTAATTGATGAAACGCTCACTTTCAATTAGAAAACTGTGCACTATACTAAGATCTTCAGTCTAAAGGTGTCATCGTATATAACCTGTTGATTGCTGTTTCACGCTTTGGAAAGTGAAACTGTAGGCCACTTTGTCTTGAAATTTTGAAGTAACCTCCAGCGCCATACGTCATACTTGGATTTTTATTTTCACTAACGTCGTGCAATATTACCAAGTTCGTTTCGAGGAGTTCGCTACCACATGCAGCTACGAGGGGCATTCAGAAAGATCGAATTATAAGCGTCGTAAGATTTACAAAAGTCGTTCATGATAGGCATCAAAATGAGCGTCTATCTATAATGTTAAAGTTATATAAACTTCCGTGCTATATAATGCCGCGGAACACCGCTACGGCGCCAAAACAAAAATGGCAGAACCTTTCCGAAAGGTCCGACTCATCCAACGCTGGTGACTGTGACGCGTGCAGCCTTCTTAGGGCTAATCTCGCACCCAGTGACATCTGCGCGTCTGAGGCCGCGTTCACACTGAGCATTCCGGCCGCCGAAAGTGCTCCGAATCCGGTTCGGCGGCGGCGAGATCCGCCGAAAGGGCCCTCTCCGCGCCGATCGCTCTCGGACCGATTTTTGCGGCGTCTGCCGCCGAATCGGTCACCGCGGAGAGCGCTAGTCAAGGAATTTTGAAAAATGGCGGCCAAGCCCTACTCACTTGTTATGCCTCAGTGCACGTAACTGAATGTTGAAACCAACGGAAGTTTAACCTACTCTGTGCCTACTTCGCCTCCGTATTTCGTGAAAGAGGTGACCGAGCTTGCTGTTGGCGTGACCGAGCTTGTTGCGGTCTTGCAAAGCAAAACCAACCCACCAATGCCGCTGGCGTCGGTGGTTTTTCTTCTCTTCGTGCATTACAGGACAGCCACTTGCCAGCAAAGTAAGCAGTACTGTCTTTTCTTGCTTCTTGCGTACGAGAATTGTCGAAGTATACACCACTCGATTGCGTAGTAGCGTTTGCAGGCCACGACAACAACCAGGTGACAGCGCATCCATCCCGCGTTCGCCCCGTGTAGATGGCACATTCGGCGGCGCGGGGCGCGTCCAGTGCGAACGACGCTGTGTTTCGGCGGCAGGGGAATTTCGGTCGCTGTAGAAAGCGGATGTTTCAGTGTGAACTAGGCATGACACCCTGCGCGGGATACCATCTTTGCTACCAGGACGCCGTTGCTCAAATCAAGGTGTTCCTGAACTCTCATACTGAAAACACAGAGTTTCCAAATATACTCTAGAGGAAACTCTGGCGCTAGTGTATATAGGAGCCGCAACGAACGGCGCTTCACCGAGCATGGGAATGATGCGTAGTGCACATATTTGTCTAATCTCCGTACTTCTGGTTTGCTTATGGCTCCGTGTGTGTTTGTGTGGCTTGGAGCTATTTTCTCACGAAACAAAAGTCGGAAAATTTTCAGCGGTTGCGCTTCACCACCCTATTCTTTTAGGCTGACCATTTCAAATCAGGTCACGAAGTTCAGACGGTTTTGTTCTTTCCTTCAAAACGAAGCCGCAAGTACGATTCGCCGCCCACAAGTACGAAGGCTAGGCAAATTCGTGTACTACTTATCATTCCCATGGTCGCTGAACGATCGCAACGCCAGAGTCCCCTCTAGCTAATTTTAGGAAACTCTGTGACTGAAAAGTTCTACTCCAAAAGCCCGCGTCAGCCCCGCCGCGGTGGTCTAGTGGCTAAGGTACTCGGCTGCTGACCCGCAGTTCGCGGGAGCGAATCCCAGCTGCGGCGGCTGCATTTTCGATGGAGGCGAAAATGCTGTAGGCCCGTGTGCTCAGATTTGGGTGCACTTTAAAGAACCCCAGGTGGTCAAAATTTCCGGAGCCCTCAACTAAGGCGTCTCTCATAATCATATGGTAGTTTTGGGAGGTTAATCCCCACATTATATCAATCAATCATTCAAAAGCCCGCGTCAGCTCATGTAACGTTATCACAAGTGCGTGACTCAAGGATGAGATTACGAAGAAAAAGAACACAAACTTCCACTAAAATTGTGTGTGTGTTTTAACAAATGATTGACACCAGTGCACGAAGAAGACAAGATTCATTGAGGGTACTTGTGTAAAACTTTTTTTTTCTATTGCTTCGAACATCATACCTGACAAGTGCATTCGGAAACAAGAAAGAAAAAAAACTGCGTGTGACATTCATGCTGGTCATCATCTTTTTGATTGGTGTACAACGCAAAAACGTCTCCAGGCACCAAAAAAAAAAATATGGCTTTGTTCGCACTTCACAACATGTCCAGTCTTTCACCACAAACACAACCACAACACTTCACGCAAAGTTCCACGAGGATGTCTAAGAAAACAACAAACAAACGAAAAATTGGCCCCACTCACGTATCCTGGATAAAACTATGAAAACAAAGATGTGGCCCCGCATTCGTATCTACACAACATGTGACCTATGAGTGAAAGAAAAAAAAACGAAGTAACGATGTCACAGAACGTCCACTGTAGGAGAACATTAAATTGTGTCTGTGAAATGTTTCTACAGAAAGGACTCGAGAATGCCCCATTCCTCAAAATGTTCCTATTCAGATTCACCCTGTTTGTCTATGTATACAAGTCCCCACATGACGTCACCGTTTGAAACAGTCCTCTACCTTTCACTTCCTGTCCGTGCGAACAGACTACAGCTGCATATTCTAAGGTTAGGGCCGTTCCATGCACTTCCCGCGCAGCCGCAACTCACGTGCCAGGACCCCTACCGCACGCAAGCGGGGGACAAATAAGCCAATTGGCGACGCTGCGGAGGGTGAAAGAGCGTCGCCAATTGGCTTATTTGTCCTCCGCTTGCGTGCGGTAGGGGTCCCGGCACGTGCGTTGCGGCTGTGCGGGAAGCGCGTGGAACGGTCCTTACAGTGTCACTTGTGAAGCTTCCTCTCAGGCTTGCCTTTCTAACTGAAGCTTGCTGTTTTATCCCCGCAAATTTATGAGGCACAGTGCTTGGTTTGCGAGATGCTTGAGGTGGTTCGGAATGGCAGGAATATATATGGCAACGATTTTCGTACGTGGATGATTAGACCAACTTTACGTATGCTGTCTAACCGTACGAGCCAGAGACAGTTGTCTCATAACGCAACTATGTACAGTGGGTGAGTAAGGAAATCCCAAAGCTTAAGCTTCAAGCATACGCTTCAAGATGGCGGTTTGGCTTTATCAGGATCCTGACGAAATGATGCTCGCCATCTAAATACCAGGCTCAATGTTCAAGCCTCATCGTTGCGCTGCATACGACTGCAATCAATTTGTACATATATATTGATACAGGCTTCATATGGCCTTACGCGGTTCAAGACTCGTCAAGGCTAATCATTCATAACGTTAGCGGCATTCATTGGAACAAAGACCGACCCAGAAAATTATACTGGAATTGTTATTTGCACGGTATTGCCACATCGAGCGAGTATTTGGGAGTGAGGGTCAGGCTTTGCAGACTGCTTCAACAGTGATATCTGGTGGGTGAGAAAGAAAAAAGAGCAAACCCCATGAAAGTGCTGTATTTAATAAGTGCATTGTCCCGATTTTCCTTTTCTGCAGCTTGATATCTAGCGCTTTTCAATGGCGTGCGAACACACACACCCACTTTGGCTCCACTACATAGGTGTCACTGCACCGAACTGGCAGACCTCAGCGCAGTACTTAGTGGTTCTCGCAATGGCACAGGCGATTGTGGGCACATGTCAGAGCCTTGTTCATCTCACGGCCATGGCGTTTACGCAAGGCAGTTCAGTGCGTGAAACAGGTACTCGGGTCATTCGCCTCTCGAGGAAAAAGAACAAACCAGCGGAATACTCTCGTGCTCCACGGCTTTGCTTTTGTACCACTTGGATTTCCAACTTCTCAGCCATTTCTGGGGAGCAGTGTTGGCCCATCGCTGGTAAACGTATATGCATGGTCACATTTGGTCGACTACCGATCATCATGCACTGCACGAAACGAGATGACTCCCGGTGTGTTCGCTAGAGCATGTCCTGGAATGTCTGTTGAAAAGCAACACCTCATTCGTTGAGTCATTTACCTGAGGAACTGCTTCCAACTCGAGAACCTCGGGCTTTTCCCACAAATTCATTCCTGCTGAAGTGCTTTAATTCACAGCTAGTTGCTTGAAGTTGTAAGAGTAGGGACAGATTGTCTTCTTAACGGAAGAGCCGACTGGCCCCGGCTTTTGCAATACGGTGAGGTCCGGTAGACCTAGGCCTGCAAGGTGGTGGACTCAGGAGTGAGGCTCACGACGGATAGTCACTTGATGAGTTGTATATTCAAGATAATGGTCCCCATAGACCAGGAAGGCGGAACACTCGCATCCTGCAGACTTAACGTGCTCCAGGAAAGCCTCGTGGCTTTTGGTCCCTCGGCGTTGGTCCCTTGAGGAGTGGTTACTTTAAGAGTCCTATTCCCACTGACGCTTTCAGCGAGCTCTTTGTAGTTTACACCGACTGCCTACAGGAGTGCCTTACATCTGGGTTCTGTGAAGGACCCTGGAAACAGCGGGAGGAGGAGCAGGCATCTTTAGGACGAGTGATGATGCTGGATGATGGTGGAAGGGTTGCCCTGTTGCTGCTGCTGGTGCTGTTGCTGCTGAAGTTTGCTCTGGTCGACCTGTACGAGTACGCTGGTGGGCCCCTGGTACACGTTGCCCGTCTGCATGTCTCCGGTCATCAGCAGCGGGCTACTGTTCGCCGATTGCACGTCCAGCGGACTCATGCGCAGTCCGTGCAGGTGCTTGTTCAGTACCGCCGAGGAAGGCGTCATGGGTGAGGAGAGCGAGCGGGGACTGTGCGACTCGCCGACGGCGTTGCCCATCATGTCGACGTTCATGCCTCCAGGCGACGCTGGCATGGAAACTTCGTGCTTGATGACGGCGGTTGGGGCGTAAGCGGGCAGCACGCCAGACGAGCAGCCGAGGCCCTTGTCTGCGGTAAATAGACACGGGGAGGAAAGACAAGAGTGAGAAAAAAAGTCATTTAACTTCAAGGCGAGGTAATTTTCCCTGCCCGGACTCCGAAGGACGGAGGTTGTGTACACTTCCTCACTTATACCGTGAAAGTACGTAAACAGTTCGATGGAACACTAGTGATATCATCGAAAAATATAGTGCACTTTACATCAGAAACATGGGCATTATACCTATAACGTGAGTACAAGAACTGATTAGCACAATAGGAATGTTAGAATAAATGCGCTAAGTGAGCGTAAGTATTTGCAGTGGGAAAGCAACGAAATACGTGAGCTTTTAACCAGCTGTGTAAGGTAAGGAAGTGAATTAATTTAAAAAAAAATGTAAACACTTCAACTGCTGAAGTTCACAAGGAGCAGATTTTCAGGTCACCTTCTTTCGATGCACTGTTGTCCTACAAATAGTCGGCAACGAAATAATTATTAATTATTTTGTATACTGACGAGGTCTTGTTTTTGCAAGATAATTGTACTGTGTGTGCAGTAAACGAAAACACACGTCTTAGAAAAGCGTACAACAATCATAAATTAGAAATTGCATAATCTTCATTGCGGTAAAGGTAGCTAATATTTTTTATCTGCTTCTTCTCTCTCCCTCTCTCTTTTTGGTACGGCACATTCAAGTCAAATTGCATTAGTAATCACACAAGTTCTGACGTTCACAGATAAGAGATCTGAAACAAGTAAAATTGACTCGTTAACAGGAAAAAAAAAATACAGAGAAGGCGCATGTTGGTCAAGAAAACGTTATGCGTTACATGTGAATAGTTATGCTCCTCCGTATTTGCTTATCGTTTTATCTTTGACTGCATCAAACGTTTTTGTATGCTGCGCTTTGCATAGGCCGCGTATAAGTTACCAATTATGCTGCGGGGTTTGTTTACAGGCCGAAAGGCACCCTTGAACTATGTTTGTTGGGTCTGAGTCCAGTTAGAGTCCATTGATTCTGAGTACGAGGCACATCAGTAGAATTTCGGGAGATCTGACTGTGACGACTCCGTAGTTTTTTTAAAAAACTTCAGGCAGTTTCGCGTTAGTGGTTCCAAGCAAGTGCGAAGCTGGACAGCCTGCCTTATTTCTCATTGTTTTTCAGCGAAAGCTGTTATGAGACCACTTTTAGGGTCACGCGCAGTTGTTGTTTTCGGGTCACGCGCTAACACTAGGCCGTCCAATGCTCCAAACAATCACAAAAGCTTGTTCTTCTTCCCCCATTAAATGTGGCGCATACCCGCTTCAGCCGTAATTCCTCATCGTCGTGAGCCACTGCATGGACAATTGGCACAAAATTCCTTGCAAATGTTTAGCGGATACCACGCTTCTCAAGAGAATGACGAAAACTAGCATAGCGAATGCCGGCATACTATACGCAAAAGTTTATTATAATACCCTAGTGGGTACCAAGCAAGTGTGCTTGCAGCAGTTACCCAATGAGTGTTTTGAAAAGGCTCTGACAGGCCGCTCTTCTAGCTTTCGCTGTGACTGTGCTGCGCCTACCGCGCAGGCCTGGCGTTTTTTTTTTCTTTCTTTCTTTTTCAGCCTTCATGTACTACAGAAACACATAATCAATTCAATTTATTTTTCTCTTCTTTCTATTTTGTTTTTTTTTCTCTATTTATCTTAATTTCTGTCTCTCTGCGTCTACTTCTTTCTCTTACTCGCTAATTCTACTTGTGATTCTCTCTATTGCCTTAACTCTCTCTCTCTTTCCCTATCTCTGTCTCTATTTCTCGCTTTCTTTTTTTCCCCCAATTTTCTTTTCTCTCTTTCACTCAGTCTTTATCCTTCATTTTTTATCTCTTTTTGTGTCTGTGTCAACGTGTTCGTCTATCTGTCTATTTATTTACCTGTCTTTATATTTGCTTTCGACCCTTGCTCCCTTTTTATATCTCCATCTATCTTTCTTTCTCCTCTCTCTGTATACTCGGTCTCATGCCCATTGGAGTTATCGAATTCCACGCAGAAAAAAAAACAATGAGGCAAGTGCTCTGGCAGCGAAGCAGGAAATGAAAAATAGCAGGAATATGAAGAAGGGGACGAAGAGCGCGCGTTATAGCTTTCGGCTATGCACGGATTAACGATCGGCCTAAACAGCTCCTCTCTTAAAAAAAATATAATTGTGAGTGAAGCTGAGTGAGTTTGGTTTTTCAGCCTTCATCAAGTCGAAATCCTTAGATGATTAAGGCGAAAGCTTTAGTTGACCGTCTTCGGCTTCAGCAGGGGTGATTCAAAAGATGATGCGACGTGCCATGAAATAACGTCATCACAACGTCACAGGTAACAAAGATGTGCGACGTTAACGTGACGTCACATAAAGTAGCGTCTCACAGTGACGTCGTCACATGACAACGTCGTTTGCTCAAAGGTGGCCCGATGCCGAATATAGAGTGCAAATACCATGTAGCGCTGAAAACTTGCAATGTATGCAATCCGGAGAGTGCAAAACCGCATAAGGTGCAGAAAGCGGCGGGCGTTTTTTATTGATTGATTAATTTATTGGCTCGTTAAAAAATATGGCAGCTTGTCGCTGGTTGTGCCAAACCTGAAAATTGGATCTGGGCGGCCTTGTTTAGCATACCATCCAAGCGTAGCCAAGAAATAGCTGGTTAAAAAAAGCAGTTAAGCCTGGTAAGGCCAAGTTGAGGCTCTTTTCTCTCTTTCTCTATCTCTCTCTTGCTTCCTTTTTATTTTCTGTTTTATTTCGCTTTCTTTCTGCCTCTTTCTTTCTCTGTCTGTTTCTTACTCATTGTGTCTCTCCCTTTTCGTCTGATTCTTTTTCTCCGTCTCTTTCTCTTTCTTTCTCTGTAACTTGTTCTCGATTCCTCGCCCATGGGTACTGGGCATGATGTATGATGTAAACAATTTAGGTGGGGACACTTCTCGGCTTATACGAGGAACGCGATCGACCAGATAGAGTATATCAGTGACGCGCGTCGATCGAGTCGCTGCCGGCAGCGCTTACCTATCGGCAAGCCAGCGCAACTTCAAAATAAAAAGAAAATATTGCGTACCGTTGCTATAGCAACCGGCGAGGCCACTGGCAACGCCGGCGTTCAGCGAACGTCTTACACACGTTCGCTACCTGGCGTTTTATTATTTCCCTTTCAAAATGAACTTGTGATGTGGTAAGCAGCCATGCAGTAAATCTGACGAAATGAAATGGCAAAGTGATTCGTGAGTGGTTACTGGTCAGATTACCCCACGTTCTTAAAAAAATGAAAATCTCATTCAGTGGTCATTGTGAACCCGAACGCATCAAAGCATTGGTTGAAGCGTGGTGCACAAGAAGGACCGTATGCTCAGCACAAAGGATGCAGTCTGCAGCAAGCACTTCACAAATGATATGATTGTGAAGAAAAAAAAGATACTTCGGAGAGCTAACAGGAAAGATGCTGATCAATGTGCCAAAAAGAACCATTCTTTCTGAAGATGCAACCCTTTGTATTTTTCGATCTTCTCCCGTACACTCGTTCCTCGGAGTCCAGGGACATTTAGCCACCTACCACGGAGCACGGACGTTTCTCTTATGTTTATGCAACACAATGAGACGTTGCAATAAATAGTACATTTAGGGGCGAAGCTCCTTAAGCCGTGGGTCGGGCGTTCACGATGTATGTAGTAGTAGTAGTAGTAGTAGTAGTAGTAGTAGTAGTAGTAGTAGTAGTAGTAGTAGTAGTAGTAGTAGTAGTAGTAGGTAGCCACCTCCACGGCCGGACAAGAGGAGCAACACGCGCGCACTTTTTTGAATTCAGGAGGAAACCGCGCACGTTAATTATAAATAAAAATAGTTGTTTTTAATGAAATAACCTACAGAGACCAGTATCGGTGACTTAATCTTGAACAAAATTTGTCTTGAATTTGATGCTGACTAAAAAAGACTAGTAACAGAAGGACGCACTTTGAGCACTATCTGACCAGGAAAAGTTGCCACATCAAACTCGCTGGGCATAATTTCCTTCGTTTTAACAAGGGTTAGCGAGGGTTGGGCCACAGTGTCATGACCTAGCGGCGGTGAAAGGTGGGAACTAGACACGAAGCGCAGGCCGTAGGAGACTACGCGTGTGCCGCTCCTCTAGTCCGGCCGTGCTACATCTTCTTTAGTCCTTGGAATGTCCGCTGGGTGGCGGTACTTCTATGTGATGAATATATGATGAAAAGATGCGATATGGCGGTACTTGGAGTAGTCACTAGAGGAACAGACGGATGGACAGACTTACGAACGGACTGACAGCTGCACAGACGGATGGATGGACGCATGTATGGGCGGATGCACGGGCGCACGGATGGATGCATGCACGGACGGACGGACCAACGCACGAACGGACGCATGGACGAACGGACAGATGTACGGACGGACTGACGCACGAACGAACGGACTGTCCAACAGATCACAGATGGACGGACGGAAGCACGCACGGACTGACGGATGCTTCGCCCCACTCGTCATCCTGCACACCGTGGGTATGCTGTGATTCTTTTTGTTACAGGAGCAGTGAGAATTTCTTTCCCTCCATCATGTTGTGCATTCACCGTTTGTGTGTGTGTGTGTGTGTGTGTGTGTGTTTGTGTGTGTGTGTGTGTGTGTGTGTGTGTGTGTGTGTGTGTGTGTGTGTTGTGTGTGTGTGTGTGTGTGTGTGTGTGTGTGTGTGATTATTATGAATTTTTCTTGCGCGGTAAGTAGGGATGGTGAAGTCCGCGAGAAAATAGAAAATATGCGCAGGGTCCCCGTAAACATGTCCCCCAACGGGTATATAAAGAGAGAAAAGAAGGTAAAAGTGAGCCCCGTAACTATCTGCATCATAGTGCGACACCTCAACAGTGGCTCACGAGGGATGGGGGTAAGGAGGGATTAAAAGGGATAGGGATAGAGATAGGGCAAAGACAGAGAGGCCCACATACGGAAATGAGGATAAGATAAGAAAGATGGACACAGTCGCAGGAGTCCGAGGACGGGGCACAACTCGGCGAGAGCTCTTGTCGGCGTTAAGAGATGGCGTAGGGCGAGCCAGTCGGCCAGAGCTGCGCTGTCGTCGGAGATCGCGGGGGCACAACCGGTTGGCGCAAAATCCAGCAATCACACAGTGGTGGGCTTTGCACCGTATATTCATCATTTGAGCCCCACAAATAGAATTCCCAATATTGAGCTTGAACTGTTACATACATAAAAGTCGAATGCTCCCCCTTGCTTTGATGGTTAGTCCTGAACGTAGATTTCCAGCCTGCTCTGAAACGCGCTCAGAATATGTATTGTGCAGCTAGACCGACTAACTAGAGTAATAAATTGCCGGGATATTCAAATATTTCTCAAACCTAGTGGCCTCCAAACTTATGACGTCGACTGCACGTGTCGTATACTTGTCATAATTGCCAACAACAGCGATCACGAAATTTTGTCAAAGAATATTGCATGCCCGCATAGCGCTCGTGCCATGAAGTGAGATTCCACTCTCGCCCTTTTCTTTATTTTAGCTCTTGTGTAAAACTGAATGAATTATTTCTTTACTTTATACAGAAAACTCAGATCATAAGAATTAGTTTAAAGGTTACACTTCAAAGACAAAGCGTTCTACTATGGTCTTAATAAAAAATTGATTTATTCTGATATTCGTTACGTAATTGGATACAGAATTATTCACTATAGCAGAGCAATCTTAACGGTTGTTATATGTGATACTCAACGAGCACCTCTTCTTGCGCGTGGCTCCAGTTGCAGTGCGTTCGGTTGTTCCTACCTGTTCTGCACAGAGACGGCTTTGAGCTCTTCTATAGTACAGTAGCAAGTACTGTAAATAATTAAACCACTTCTTCTAAACACATTGGCCTCATCAAGGACGGCTCTGTGTTCTCCCATAGTAGAGTGCCAAGTACTCTAAATTGTTAATCACTTTTTTTTTTCTAAAAACACGGTTATGGTCTTTTAGGAAATTGTTCTAAAGTTCTGTAGTTCTGAAAATTGGCATATCTTATTGCTCTCCCGTAGTAGAGTACATCGTGTTCTAAATCGTCGAACACTTGTTCTAAACACAACCAACCACACAGCGTCGCAGTGCCATAAGTTAAATTGTACTTATGAGCTCCTATTTGTACGTCCCGGAGAAGTCATTACATTGCCCAAAACTCACCTGCACTATACTGTTATTAGTACGAAATAAACCTTCCTGTCTTCACTGTGTATTTCTAAACATATTTTGTTGTTCTAGGGGGCGCTCTGCTAGTTGTGCACCAAGCAGCATAAAATTCCCATAAATGTTATGCTCGTGTACCTTGATAGACATGTGGCTACCACGGTCGCCATCCGACTGTAAGTTCGCGATCCGAATTCCGCCTTGCCAAAATTGATTCTGTCGCCTCTTGCGTTCGCGGGATGCTCTTCCCCGACGCGCTGTGCCCGGGGGCAGCTTTACAGCTACTGTGCCAATCGTGATCATGAAGATCGGCGACGAGCTTTGGGCAGGGCGGAGTCAGCGCGCCGCGACGGCGTCTACCTCTGTTTACAAACGTGGAATAGGTCTGTAAGAGGCAGTTCGTGATGGCGATCGTTTTCTATGGACACCACACGGGGCTTTGGCAAGTTCGGGGCTAAAATGGACGACTCACCGGGACTCGCCCTGCGGACCTGCATGCCGTACGCGGCGATGTTGTGGTCGGCGGCGATCATGGTCGAGTACATTCGTGATGGCGATCGTTTTCTATGGACACCACAAGGGGCTTTGGCAAGTTCGGGGCTAAAATGGACGACTCACCGGGACTCGCCCTGCGGACCTGCATGCCGTACGCGGCGATGTTGTGGTCGGCGGCGATCATGGTCGAGTACATGGGCACCATGCGCTTGCTGTCCATGGCCTCGTGCGCCGCCGCAGCCGCCGCGGCTGCTGCGGCGTTCATCTTGCTCGAGCTCTTGGACGACTTGCCGTCGGCGTTGGCGCTCTTGGGCTTCCGCTTGCGCGTCTGGATGCCTTCCTTCTTCATCGCCAGGGGCCTGTTCACCTGCGTGTTGCGCAAGCGCCGACGTTACACGTCTCAAGACAGGCGACTGTCGCTGAGCTGAAAGCCAGCTGTGGTTTCTCATATATGTCATTGTAATAAGAAAACAGACACTAAATTGAAACAGTAGGTTGGTTTGGACTGATTAATAGTACTGACAAAATTCTGCGGTCAAGAATTTCATGACCATGGTTTCGGGAATATTTCAAAGAGGAACTTAGCTTCATGTTTAAATTTCGCGCCCAAACCTCCACAACTTGCGTCACGCATTTTGAGTGTTTTTTTTTTGTTTCTTTTCGTATGTTGATAACTTTGGCCCAACGAAATCTGGAACTTACTCTGGCACCCTCAGAGGGTGACTTATCGCATTTTCGCCGATTAGAAATTCTGCAGGCCTTACTAAATATTTGTGACATCACAGATTGGTGCGGAAATTTTTCAGTGGTGTCGCCACATGCGTTCTCTTTCCGCGCGCTTTTTCGCTTACCAAACGTCATCTCGTGACGAGCGTGAAGATGTTGATATCGTGAAAGGTTAACTTACTTATTCAAAAAAACTACTTTTTCTCTTAGTGTACGTGACAGGAAACATTCGGCGGTTTTTTCACGTCTTATTGTTGCGTTAAAGGCGTGCGTCAGTCAGTCGGTAATGCATATGTTTTGCTGCTGACCAATTTTTTTTAAATAAAGAAGACCGCTTTGAAGTTCCGTTTCATTCCGGGGCACTATCGCACCCAAAGCAGGAAAGGCTCTGGTACCTCAGTGGTGCTGATCCATCGCAAGAAAAGGACTGGGCTTTCTTTTTCCCAGTGTTGTTCAGTTGTCTAAATAGTAGATATACACTACTCGACCTGACCAGAGCGACGCCATCATTTTTTGTACAGCCAAGGCTTCAGTGTTGGCGGTCTCCTTCGGTAATAGACATATGACATTCTCTATCGACGCCTTAAAAAAATAGTACAGCGTAATAGCCTTCTGAGTGCCGCACCACGGTGTTCTAGTAGCAAAGGTACTCGGCTGCTGACCTGCAAGTCGCGGGATCGAATCCCGGCTGCGGCGGCTGCGTTTTCGATGGAGGCGAAAATTCTGTAGGCCCGTGTGTTCAGATTAGGGTTCACGTTCAAGAACCCCAGGTGGTCGACATTTCCGGAGCCCTCCACTACGGCGTCTCTCATAATCATATCGTGGATTTGGGGACGTTAAACCCCACATATCAATCAATTAACCTTCTGAGTAGTGACTAAATAGGAACTTCGAAAGAAAAAAAGTTCAGCCACTTTTTCACAGTTAAACCCATTGACAGCGAAAGTGCAATCTTGATCACCATGACTGTCAGTAGACGTCATCATAATCATCGTGATTGTTTCGATTATCATTACCATAACTTAAATTGTTCGCTCGCCCTGTAGTAGCGTGATCTGCGTGCCTACTACTACTGTGGCTACCACCACTACGGCTGCTGCTGCTACTACTACTGCACAGGATGGACAAATGCAGCTTTGCTGTAGCTGTCTCTTATTGTGTAAGTAATACTATACCCGTCAAAATATGTGCGGACTGGGCTGGGCTATAAACTATGCCACGAAAGAAAATGGAAAGTATAGACAAGCAACCACGCAGCGTCCGTATTCCTCCTCGCAATGGCCCTCTGCGAACTGAGCTGGCGGTGTACGCTCCGACACGTGGTCAAAACCGCACCGTGTCTCTCCGGCAGAGCGTGTCACAAACACGACCAAAATCAATCGTCTGATTGCTATGCTCGCACGCGTCGTTGTGCACTCCTGCAGCGAACGAACGTGACCGCTCCTCGCTCTCCTTCTACATTTTCCCAACCTTTTTCCCCCTGTAGGCATTGTCCGCGTTCAACATGGACTGCTATACAGGTACTTTCTCGCTGTCCGTGTTTCAACTCTCATTTCGAAGTGAGTACGGTGCATATCTCCGGATGGCGTGTTCACATTTGATGCAATATGAAGCAACCAGGAACCTATCTGTCGTTTACTGTGGTAGCAGTAGTTGTAGAAGAAGGAGGCAGCGGGGAGGTAACCCCGTCCTATATTCACAGGCGTGCGTAGGGTTCTCCTTCATGGGGCAAAGGTTCGTCGCAGCGCCCCGCTCCCTATTATGTCAATGTATGGGGTTGACTTTGCCCCAACCCCCTTTTTGGTGACTAGGGGAGGTGGCCGCCTCCCCTGCCTCGCCTCCTACCCCTATGCGCACGTGTACGTCTACAATCACCTGACCCGTCCTTATACACTCAGGAGTTAAGACCATGCCTGTTTTTCACAATTATCAGCGAGCGAAGGTCCTTGATGTTGCACTGATTGATTGATTTGTGGGTTTAACGTATCGAAACCACCATATGATTATAGGAGACGCCGTAGTGAAGGGCTACATAAATTTCGACCACTGTTGTCTTTAACGTGCACCCAAATATGAGCACACGGGCCTACAATATTTTCGCCTCCATCGGAAATGCAGCCGCCGCAGCCGCCGCCCCGCCGCGGGACCACCGCGGCGGGGCATTGCTGTTGCATTCCAAGAACCATTTACCTCTCGTATTTATTTGAGGAAAGTTAGGAACCAAATGCAGGCCACAATGAGAAGCACATCATTACCTCATTTTAATTTTTGTTTCATGGACTGTAAAATACCTTGGCTTTTGGACCATTTGAAGGGGGGGGGGGGGGGGGCTGCGTATATATACACTTGCTTTACGCAATGTTTAAAGTGCAACCTTACTCACCTTCGTTAGTGAATCCGTCAACTGTAGCCGGATTCAACTTTAGAAGGTAGCTGCATTACTACATAAAGGACGGTTGGCTGCAAACAAGTTTTCACTAACGGGCGTACACTGCATTGACTGGCGTCATGAGACTGATAGCCGGGGTTGCCGTTGACGGAGACATGGCCGAATACATGCGCGGCACTGTTTCGATATAGTCGCGGGGGCACTCGTTGGAAGCGCTTCGGCTGTTTGTGCGGGGCCTCCTGCCTTCTTCATTTATACCCGACTAGAGACGGCAACACTGTCTGGTGTACAATTGACTGAACGCAAACGGCATGGTGCACAGGAATACCGGATACGCCAAAGCTATCTAGTATCTAAGCTTACGTTATGCAACTTGTAGTAGAGACCACAGGCATTGCAGACGGGCTCCCCCTGGTTGTTGCGCCGCCACAGCGTCGTCGTCGAAGTGGCACAGTTGGAGCACTGTAGGCCGACTCGCCGATTGGGTGGCTGTTGCTGCTGTTGGGGTTGATGCTGGGGTTGTTGTGGCTGTTGTTGCTGCAAGTTGAAAGAATGCAAAGCAGCGTTGATATCGCTTACTTTAAAAGTGTACCCATCATAAAGAGCGTGAGCAGTGGGCTACTGATGCAGAACCACTGAGGATCTTCAAGTAGCATTTGTCTTTTGCGTAGAACGACCTCTTCTAAGATGCAAAGGCTGGCGCCAACATACAAAAAAAATGTCGCTGGGCATGCTGATACCACAATATATAAACAAAGGTCACTGGAAATAACTGCACAACGTAAGACAAATACCATTAGAGGTACTTGTTCTATTTCATAAAGAATAGTCACTGGACATGCTGACAAATGTCATTAGACACGCTTGCTCCACCTCAGGCACAGGTCACAGGGCATGCTGGTTACACCTTAGACAAAGGTGAAAGGACATGCTGGCACCACTGTTGGTATATGTCATTGGACCAGCTGTAGTACACTACAGAGAAGGTAACTGGCATGCTGGTACCAGGCTACATACAAAAGTCGCTGGTCATGCTGGTGCCTCTGTATAGACAATAGACGCTGGACGAGCTGGCAGACAACTGTCATTGGACATGCTCGCACCAATCCACATACAAAGCTCACTGGACATGCTGGCAGACAAAACACCACTGGGCACGCTGGTACCAGCTTAGGCAAATGTCACCGAGCGTTATTGTAATATTCTGACAAAGTTCACTGGACATATGCTGGGACCACCTTATGGACAAAGGTCGCTGGACACACTAGCCCCACTTTACACAAGTGTCACTGGGCAAGATGGCACCAGGCTACAGACAAAAGTCAGCGGATATGCTGACACTACTGTATCGATAAAGGTCACTTGACACGAAGCCGCAGCCTAGGAAAATCCCTGTTCATGTTGTTACCGAATACAGATAACGGTTACAGGACGTGCTGGCAAACAAGCGTCATTGGAGATGCTGGTACCACCCTATAAACATCTTTCTGGACATGCTACACCATCCTAGAGACAAAGGTCACTGAACGTGCTGCTGGTGTTACTAGCCTACAGACAAAGGCCACTGACTCGACGGCGAAAGTTGCGGTGAACCCTGGTCCAGAGTTCCCGGAATGTAGGAAGAAACAAGCAACGTCAGCGTGAGACGTTTTGGTTGCTGCAGAAAAAAGGAAAGTTGAGAGAAAAGTTTCTCTTTTATTGTGAGCACTTGAGATAGCTCCTAAACAATGTGCACACCAGAGGCTGTTCGGCGCGCTTCTTATCAGCAAACGCTTCAGGCGCAACGTATATATCGCGCAACGCGTTCTTGTTGACCTCTTAAAATGAAGCGGCTCGTTTTCACGGGCGGGAAATTAATTAGGCTCCCACGATTCTATTGTTGGAAAGCCCGCAACTTCGGACGGCTTATATATAATATACGTGAAGGACGAGATAAGGAAACTACGGCGGCCGTCGCCCCGCCTTTGAAGCCATAGTGCTGCACAGGCAAAGCACGCAGGCATTTTCGTACGAGTCGAAAATAAGACATCATTCAGGTATCGCTGCCGTGGTGGTGCGGCAACTACGGCGTAGTGCAGCTAAGTGCGAGGCCTCGGGTGCAGTTTCCGGCCACGGTTATTGCATTTCGATGTGGCCCGAAATTTAAAAAAGAAACGTGTACTTCGCTTTAGGCACAGGCTAAAACAATATATGGTCAAAATTTATAGAGCACCTCGATTCTCTTCCCTGCACTGTTTCTCGTAATCATGGTTTTGGAACGTAATAGTCAAGAATGTTCGATTTAGTTATTATCGGGACTGTCATAAGAGGGCTCGCCCGTATCGTGTCGGATGCCTAACTTAGCTACGTGTGCCTTGACTCACAAAAACAGGTCTACACAAGGCTCACAAAAACAGCTCTACACAAAGCAGCCGTGGGATCCCCGATTGCTGACTGCTTGTAAATGCTTAGTCAAGGCAATGCAGAGGTGGTAACGGAACTGTATTCACATGTAACTATCAGATTCACCTACAGGCACCACTGGCACCTGAACAATGCTTTGCACAGGCAGTTGAAAACTGACGTAAACATCACTAAAAAATTAGAGCACCGAAAATTTCGAAAAAAGGCCACGTATATGTATGAATTTTAAAAGGCTACTTATAGTTGCGCATGCCATTATGCAGGCGCTTGAGAATGAGGTGGGGTAACTGGCTGCTTTCGCATGCATCCACCGGATAACGCAGATGTGTTCTCTCCCTCTCTCTTTTACGAGTTAGCTCCACGAGGTTTCGATTTCCTTGTCGCTTTCCGCCTTCTCACCGTTGCAGGGCAGAAGATTTACAAAGTATACACGTTAATCCGGCAAATCGTCATTGGAAGAGCACGGGTACCGTTTTTCTTTCTTATTTTCCATTAAGCGCCGCAAACTTAACGAAGTCGCTCCTACACCTCCAGCTTTTCCTGTGTATAGGCAATGCAGGAAGGGCATGGACTCCCGCCTCTTCAACTAGACGCAATTTTTGAAATGAGAATCGTTCGAATGCCCTCCAAACGGGCGCGTCCTACGCCGCTTTTAACACCCAGCACGCTTATCAGCCGCCAAAGTATAATTGACATCGTGTCACTTTTTTTTTTATCATCTCCTCGCTCTCCTGTAATACTCAATGTGACAACAGAGGAAGTGACCGTACACACACGCACGCGCGCACACATCCACACCGTATACGAGCTGTAGACGCAACCAAGCAATATGAAGAAGTCCAAGCGAGCGCTCGTCTAAAACGCTTCGTTCCCTTCCTCAGCACGGCATCGCATAGGGCCACGCATTCGAGCAGAAGAAGGCGCAGCGCAGCTCAGCCCTTCCTTCCTATATACACGAGATCATATCCGTTTGCCAGCGCGAACCCCGAGGGCTGCGTGTGAAGCATGTCACACTTGGCTAAACCTGACATTCGAGACGTGTACGTGCCACATTAAAATTATGGCACCTCGAAATGCCGATCCGCCCCTCCTCCTCCATCTCTACCACCACAGAAACCCCCCTTCTCAGTGCGTAACGTACGCTTGGCGTCGCTCACGTACACACCTATTCAACCACCCAGGCATACCGGAGCCTTAAGGTTTTACGCGAGGTTTATAAGTATATATGTATATTGTTTGTTCTTTCGTGGCTTCTTCACGCAGTGCTCTACGCGTTCCGCAGTGCATGACGTCTCGTCCCCTTCATAAGCGCCCTCTCTCGAGCATCATGATGGGCGGGCATGTTTGCAAAAGAACAAGTTAAGAAAGAAGGCTTAAGAAAAGCGCTTAAGATAAAAGTAAATGTTTGTCCCGATGAGTTGCGACACGTATGAGGCAGCGCATATGTCAAGTCGTTTCCGGAGGGAGAATGGCCCGACCGTATGGGGCGGTGGTTGAACGACGCGCTTCGTGCATTCCCTCAAAGAAAAAGGGGGTGCGATGCTTGCAGGCGTGCGATGACTGAACGCTCCTCCCGGCCCTGGTGCGTAGGGCGAGGCCGCGCGAAGATTTGAACGTTCTTACCGGAAGGTGGCATGCGCGATTGCTTCTAACAGCGGTATGTATAATTACGTGGATCCCATCTTGCACGGAGTCCCTGGGAAGACATAGATGGGAACCCTTAAATGGGTGAGAATCAGCTAGTTGTGTCTTTCTGAAGCGCTCTGGTGCACAACAATCTTCGGAGACAAGTGATTGCGTTGGCGAAAGCAGTGGCGAGGACATTGACGAAGAAATAACAGGACCGTTGGACGCGTGCCATGCTATCGGTGAAGACTCTCGTTGTCTGTTGAGACACGCCTAGCCAATGCACTGCCGCAACGGCCACGCGTGAAATACATGATTGTATTCACTGAATCATTTCCGTTGTGATTACAATTACACGTCCTTTCCGTATAATCACTGCACGAATATTATATGGATTCCATGATATGTTCCGCCAAGGCGGAGAGAGAGAAAGAGATAAAGCGGAAGGCCGGAAGGTTTACTACCACCAAGGCGGAGGTTCAGGATAATGCATTTCAGGGGGACAGGTTCAGGAGGACAGTAAAACAATGGGTGTTGGCTTTGATGTCTTCGTATATGATGTCTCGTTATCAGCATTTGGTCTTATGTTCACCCCATTTCGATGTGGCAAATGTCTCCCTCGTGTTCTTGCCTTGCTGCATATTTTCCGATAACGGAACATCCCTCATAAGCGACAAAAAAAATGAGGAACTTTATATGGATGTCTCATACGTATCTGGGGCGCAAGAGCGAGAGATATTGCGGTGAGTTGTCAAGTCTGTCAGGGTCACATATACGCTCCTTTCTCTCTCGTGTACTGTCATTGCTTTGAACGGACTTTGTGTCGTGTTTTCGAGCTCCGCGATATATGGCGAAAATTTGGGAGCTATTTGAGCGCTTTGACGCGTTCTACTGCGCGAAACGGTGCTGCACACTGCAGGTGTCAATTTTCCATATTTGCGACTGTAGGCGCTCCGAGCTTATCGTGCCATACATGCCGAAATTGCAGCCGCGGTGCTGAATTTCCAGTATAAGTCCTTACCAGTAGGATGCGGCGCGGCGGTGTCTATGGTGGCAGGTGTTTGGATACGACAGCAGTTCTACCGATAAAACCGGCTTCTTTAGGGAATACTGCCTCCACGTCTCCCTACTCTCCCCCGAAAGAAAATGTGTGTGTTCTTTCGCTCAATTCTTCTTCGCCGGGCCACTGCACAAGGGGCAAAAGATTCTATCTCGACGTCCCGTATGCTCTCCACCGGCATACGGACATCCCACTGCGCAAGGTGTGGAAATATTGTGAGCGGTCGACCGAGTAATTAGATCTAATGAATCTTCGCTGTCTGAGTTATACAGTTCCGGTCACCGTGTCATCGGCAGGTAATTAGAGGAAGAACCGTTGCGACCTACATTCGTCTCGCACACCCTGGAGATGACACTGCAGGAGGATAGCACAAATGCGGAAAGAGGAAACCCCCCCCCCCCTTGACGGTGTAATCGTTCACGCACCAGCACAGAGCCCACTCTTAGTT